AAACGCCCCCCCCTCCTTTCCCCTCCTCGTTTCCCAGTTCCCCACAGAAAACACACCGGGTTGCCCCACATGGCCCGCCCCCCCCCCCCCCCCACACACACAATTCAAGTGCTAGAGAAAGGTCTGCAAAGCTAAAGCAGAGCTACCTCAAGAGGACTGAGGCAATGCCTCAGTTTGCATCCTTGGGCGCGGCTTTCTTACTTAACAAGGATGGTGTGTGCAATGCCTACAGGAAAGAACAGCAGTAGAGGAACCGTGGACAGCTAATGTAATAGCATTTCCATAGTTGGAAAAGGCAGCCTACGAACCCTAACATAATACATCCAAAAGGCACCACTCTGCCTCCTCTCCCTCAGCGCCTGGCACGGCCAACCAGTGTGTCTATGACTTACTTGGATTCTTGACACAGAACTGTCAAGAGAAGAAAGCAAATTGCACTGAACAGAAAAGTCTTTTGATATTAACCAGTAAGAAACACATTAACCTTGGTGTAATCTCATTAACCTCTGTGCAACTGGCTATGCCATGGGCTTCTTTAACTAGCTTTTCATATTGCTATTAACTGTATTTTAAAATATGCGGCTGATTTCTTTCGACTTTTCAGGTTGTAGCTCTCATGTTACCTTTATTTTGAACTCAGGGATATTTAATCATGGGGGCAAAACAGATATAAAAATCATATTGGACAGCTGGTGTGTGTGTGTGTGTGTGTGTGTGTGTTAAAGTTAGTGCAGCCCCAGAGACTGCCAATTTGATTACAGGAATGATATGGAAGGCAGAGAGAGAGAGAGAAAAAAAAAACATTTGAGTTAGCAGGTGCAGTCATAATTCTTATCTGTGATTCTAATTCATTCCAAAAAATTCAGGAGCCATTCTTTATGTTGGAGCCTGCCAATGATTCAGACAACTGTCCCTCCCTTTCTGCCACCACCTCTGTCTTGTATCTGCTGTCATTAAATGTGGCTGTCTAAGGGGAACATTAAGAGCATGGAAGGGCTTTAAAGCCCACCAGAGTTCTGCTGTGACCCTGCTGGGATTAGCAGCTTCACAAAGAGGCTCTGGGACTGATCACAAAGTCTTCTCAGAAAGATGCCAGACCCAACGCTTTCAGGATTCGCGTAGGCTTATTGGCAGCTCCATCTGAACAACACCCATAGCAACAGCTACAAGGCCAACTGGGAGACAGATGTAGAAAAGGTTGACATTTCCCTGTTGATATTAGCAGCAGGACAAAAGTGGTTGTGACTGTGTTGCAGGGGAGGTGGAAACATCTTCCCCTCTCAGCCATCCTATGGGACACATGGTGTGTGAAACTGGGCAGGTTCATGTGCCCCATCTGCGTTATTTGGGATAACAATGATACTGCTATGGGGTAACTTTATTTGGGAGGGTCTGAGGTTCCCTCCCCTGGGCAGGGGGTTAGATTAGAAGACCTCCAAGGATTCTATGTGATAACAAGTTAAAAAGGAAAACAGAAACTCATCAGCCCTGATGGAGTTCTTTAACAATCCTTTCCTTATTATGCAGCTATTTAAAAACACAGCTTAATTACTTTGGTTTAACACAACTGAGAACTGATTATGGTATCTTCATCTGGTTTTGATTTGCTGAATCATAATTCCTGGTAACCTTCACCCACAGCAGTTGCATGGTAAAGAAGTAAGAAAAAAGGCAAAAGAGGTTAGTGAGCAATGAGCTTATATCTTAGCAGGAACCTTCAAGACATCAAAATAAGTCTTGGACTTCCCAAAACTGCATCCTTGCAACAGCCTGGACAACATAGTAAGAAAACTTCCCTACACAGCCTGAGAAGATGAAACAACTGACAACAGCCCATCTAAAAAAGCATTATTTTTTATTTAAAAAGCATTGATTAATAAATTTCCATATACAATTGGGCTTTTATAGGATTAAACTAGCCACTTTTATTGTTTGAAGGTATATAATATCTGCAGTACACTTTAGAACATGTGAAAAATAGATATGCTACATTAATATAGTTTTAGATATTCCTATTACATGTGGCCATTTATGGGCAAGGCACCTTTAAGCAACCAACAGATACATGGCTGCAATGCAGATATATAACATTTGACAAATAGCAGGTGATGTTATTTGGGATTGGCTTGAAATGTGGTCTTAAGCAGACAGGAAAATGGATCCCAGGGGTGCATGAAGGAAAATTCAAAGGACTTAGTTCAGCGAGGACAGCTGTTGGGCAAACTCTTTTGAAGTGGAGTGTCTACAAAGACTCTTGTATTTAGTATTTCCAATAACAACATTCATACGTAAGTTTGCTGCCAAGAGACTAGCCTTACTGTGTCTGACATGTTTGGGGCCAACTTTTTCCTTGTATTGCTCAAAATAAAAAAGTCTGGAAGAAAATCTGTTTAAGCAGAGATCATCTGAACAGACCCAAGAGCAAACTAATGAAGAGCTTCCAGATCTGGCTCTGGGGCAGCTTAAGAAGAATGCGCAAAAGGTCCAAGAAATCTGGTGCATGAAATTCATAACTCCTCCACCCACCCCATGCACACATTCTTCCATACAGACTCAAGGTTTCTGTTTCTAAGCTTTCTTTTCCTGCAAAATATATACATAAGGATAAAAAAGGACTATGATGGGCTCATACGTGCGATTTAATGGAAACTCATGGCATTAACACAGATGAGAACTGGCCCTGTTATTACTACTGTCCCAAAAGTTTCCACCAGATCTGCTTCATCTGATAAAGAACCTTAATTTTATTTTACTTCCATAATTTATTTGAAGCAACAAAGGTCTCATCTATTGCAAAGTGTGTATGAGTGTTGTCATATCCCAGATTTCAAGGTCACCCTCCAGTTACTCCCTAAAACCATGGCACATGTTTCAGCTTCAGACCAAAGTTTTTCCACTATACAATTGACCTTCAATGTTTGAAGATTGCAGATTGAACTATCCATATATAGAAGTTGGAATGAAATTCTGTAATTTATGTTCCTTGTGAGAACTACTCTGGGGCAACTGATACGCATGTTTTCACATGGCCCACTTGAATCCTTATCTCTTTAGGCCCAAATACTGAAAATCTCTCTTGGTGACAGACATGAAGCAGCCTCCAAAAACTCTGCTGAGAGCAAGACCTTTTTGGCCTGTTTTACCCAGGGTGCTTTTGTTATAAGTCCTTCAGTTTTGCAGCTTACTTGTGAAGGTATTTCTCCAGATACTCATGAATCCACTTTAACTTGGGATCGATGCAGATCTGTTTACTGCTATTTTTCAGTCGTGCACTGCCAAAAAAAGAGAAAAGAAAATAGAACAGAAAATAAAATAAACTCATGTACATAAACCAAACCTGAATTTGCTTGTTCAACTTTTGTGACAAGGGACAATAAAGACATCTGCTCCTTATAACATTACACAATGAAAGACAGTTTTTTATTATTATGGCAAAATTAAAACCATTAAAAGCATTCACTTTGGCTATAACACAAATTGACACAAAGCAGTGCACTTGAGTGATAGCTGGACCACCTTCAAACCAAGGTCACTGTGTCCTAAAGTTAAATAGGTTCAAAGCTTTTTGCTACCTTCAGAAGGCATGCTGTAAGTTACAGTGTTTTTATTTTCATTTGGCCAATTTGGCAATTTCTGAACCTCTCCCAACTTCTCTATGAAAGAAAAGACAAAGTGGAAGAATGATAGGACATAGCTTTGTGACTGACACTTCTAGCTACTAAGCAGAAAATGACAAGGAGGGTTCTCAAATCATCATGCTTTTTGGAGATGCACTGAAAGAACAAACTCAACACCATTTTGTGTTCTCTGAGAGCAACAATATTCAGCATCTCTGCAATGAGAGAACAGTCTAAGGACCAGTACTGATAGATCAACGATATTCTTATTGCTCCCTGTCTGAACTCTATGATTTGTACCAAGCAGTCTCTAACCTCAACTGTAGAACACATAGCAAAAGAACTTTTTTTATATTTGCAGGATTGATCCCATCTGCAGAAGAAGCTATTTTTCCTGAAAATTTCACCCAGAATTTGCTGGTTACCTGAAGTACCCCACAATTCTGAAAACAAATTGGATCCAAACCAAAGCTGAAGCTAAAGCTCCAGACTCAGTGTCTCACCAATCAACTGATAAGGGAGGTTCTAAACTGGTTTTTATTTTAGGTCATAGCCCTACACTGTACAGTGAACTGTTTCATTAGGATAGGGGGAAACGTTTCACTGACAATTGCCCAATAATTTTTTTTCCCCCCAGTTAAGGCAGACCCAGATCTAGCACTGTGGGGATACATGGAAGCTGCCTTGAACAGGACCCTTAACTAGTCTGTCTTCCTTAATCTTTTCTGCTCAGCAATCCAAGTTCTCAGAAGTGTATTTATAAACAATATAAGTAGTATAGAAATCAATTTTTAAAAATCATCAGTTGAAAATGAAAAAGTATACAAAACTATTACATTTCATTATTTTCAAGAAAATATAGTTTTGCACCATTTCAATCACATTTAATAGTACAGTAGAAAGAACTTAATTATAAAGCTTCTCTGTAAAATTACCCAAGTTACAGTACTTATGACTTATTTTAATTTTTCAATACATAACTATATTTATAAATAAATTGTGGCTCTGTTTAGCTAAGGGAAGCATGTAAGGTTTTGCTCCCTCTTCCTGTGTGGTTTTAGTTTTTATCTTGTTTGTATGAGAGGGTTGTTTTAGGGGGAAAGGATAATTGCAAGAGATGTGCTCTTCTGAATTTTGAAGAAGCAGGATAGAAACAGGATAAAAAGAATACTAACACTTTTGAACTTTGGTATTGGAGAAAACTCCTGAGAATACCATGTGCAGTCAAGAGAACAAACAAGTGGATCCTTGGACAAACGAACCCAGAGTTCTCACTCAAGGCACAAATGACCAGGCTCAAATTATCCTACTTTAGACACATTATGTGAAGACCGAGCTCTTTGGAGAAGGCGCCAATGCTGGGAAAGATAGAAGGAAAGAGAAGAAGACCAGCATCAAGGTGGATAGACACAATTATGCAGCAATGGGTGCACTGTTGGAAGACCTGAAGGACCAGGTTGGAGACAGATCCCCCAGGAGAAAGTCTATCTATGTGGCCAATAAAAGTTGACCCTGACTTGATGGCCCCTAATCAATCAATCAATCAATCAATCAGCTCTTCAGCTGAGTTTTTGCTACATCCAGGAACTAACCTCCAGTGTTTTGGTGATATGCCTGCTTTGGATGGGGAACAGGTTCACTGTCTGGGGGTCACAATAGTGGCAAGGAGGCCTTTTAGGAGTCTTGGCAGTTTAACCAGTTACCTGGGGGAGAAAGAGCTGATATATGTGCTGGCAATCCCAAGGCTGAATTACTGCCACTGGGCCCTAAGCCATATAAGGCTTTTTACACCAATGGGAGCACACTAATTTGGGCTCAAAAAGCAAATGGCATCTAATGTGTCTGTTTCAACCCAGGGAAGACATACTGTCACATTTTGGGCTAGTATAATTTCAAGGGCTGTCTTCAAATGATTTTTTGTTCTTCTCTTACATGTAAGTCACCATGTTCAAGTTAGTCCCTTTTGACCTGTAACAAAATGACAACTCTGCTGAACAACAGTCCTCCAGCAGTATCTCTAGTCATTGCAAACTAGAAGGACTGGATCTACTGCAACATGTTGTTCCAAGGGCTCAATCCTACCAGGTGGTCCAGAAGAACATCACGTTGAATGGTATCAACCTACAAAGCATGAGTTGTGGTACTCCAAATTTCTCCATCCATTTCCTGGTATCGATCATTTACCAGTTCCAGTTCCATATCCCAGTTAAAAGCCATTTTTATACCACCAACTTCATAAAGACTCCTGATAGTTTACAAACAATACAGGTAGTTCTCACTTACCAGCTGCACTAGGGCCTGGCAACTCTGTCGCTAAGTGGTGCGATCATTAAGTGTGACGTCATGTAACTGTGCTGACTTATAACATCAGTTCTGGATGCAAATCACCATGAGTTAAGTGCAACATCACATGACTGCGACTTGTGACTTCCTGCCAGCTTCCCTACTGACTTTGCTTGTCGGAAGCCGGCTGTGAAGGTCACAAATGATGATTGTTGGACCGTGGGATGCTGTGACCATCACAAATGCGTGCTAGTTGCCAAGCACCCGAATCACAATCACGTGACTGTGGGGACACTTCGAGGACCAGTCATAAGTCTCAGTTTTCAGCGCCATCATAAGTTCAAACAGTCACTGAATGAGTTAAGGTCGGTAAGTGAGGACTACCTGTATAAAGTACATAAAACCACAAAAACAATCCTGCCTCAAAGACAAATCCAGCACCAGGAGCAACTTCTTTACCGCTCAACAATTGAAAGCTATTTGCCAGAGCTCAGCCTTGAATGCCCTCTGAAAAACTGTAAAGGGGGGCACCATCTGGATCTCTGGATGGAAAGTGTTCCATAAAGCAGGGCCATAGTCCGAAAAATAACGTCATCTAATTTTATTTGAGGGAAACACTTTCAACATGCCCTTATCAGCCAAATGAACCGGATGGGTGAGTTGTACCTGAAATAAGTGGTCCTGCAGATACCAAGCCAGGAACTTTATAGATTAAAACCAGCACTTCTTGAACACTTTGCCTCTTTTAATCCATGGGTAAAAAGAATCTTTAAAATAATTTTGGTTCAGAGGCTGTTTGCATTGCAATGAGATCAGTGTTTGCAATCCCTCAATGCAAGAATCTGTATCCTTCTGTCTCTGCTACCATCTGCACTCTTATTAATCAACAATCCATGTCCTATTCCAACTTCTGGGACTGGTGCAGTCCCTCTAGACAGCACATTTATCTTTGTGAAATGGTGCTGTTTTCTTGCAAAACAACACTTTTAGGCTCCTATCTTTTTCATACAAGCATCATTTTTTAACTCCTGCAAACTGGAAACCTTTGGAAACTCCTCAGGTGAAACTTAGAAGAAAGATCTGATTCTTTTAGAAAGTTCATTCAAACGTGCTTACAAAATTTGACCAATTCTGCCAATAAATCTGCCAAACAAAATTTATAATTTTCTTCTTAAAAGAAGAACAAAACCAGAACATAGCATCTTGGAAGAATTAATCCGCTCAGAAAGAATTGCTATTCCTGACGATGTGTTCTGACTCTGTCAAACCGACAAACAATATATAAGTAATGCCTTATTTCCAATTAGAGTCAGTGGGAGGTACAGATTTAGATTTCAGAATCACAATTAGACACTAAATTGAATTGAGGGACTAGTCTAAGGTAGAAAAAGTTGTTTTCTGAGTCTGTAACTCATGGCCTAACCCCACCCTGATTTTAGCTTGCTGTTGAGGCGTAAAGCTCTTCAGAGAACAGATGCAATTACTTACGGATTTGTTTGTTTTTATTGCTGCATCGCTTTTCTTCTCAGAAGACCCAGGATGGTTTACAAAAGGGCAATTATAAATTAAAAAAAAAAATCAAAACATAGACACCAAAATACAAGAAAGTAGAAAACAGCAGCAAATACAATGGATTTAAGAACCCAGAACATGAAAGCTAATATAAAACAAGTCTTAAAAGTCTTCCTGGAGGCCACTAAAGACAAAAGGTTTCGCCCACCACAGAGAAAAGGGGTGTTGTTGGTGGTAAGAAACTGGAATACCAGTCAGAATATAGCTGCCAAATTTCAATGGAAACCAGCAGTGCCAAGTGAAGGGGCTCTCACTGTGTAGATCAGTGTCGGTCAACCTCAGCGACGTTACTGCTGTAC